CTATGAAGCGATATATAAGTCTAAGTGCTATTGCTATTATAGAGTTATAAATTAAGATGTTTCAGTTATCTATTTTCTATGTTAAGATAAATGTGAAGAACTCTACATGGCAAGCCCAAATAAAACTTTTTATACCTTTTGTAACATTACAGATAAGCAGAAGCTGTAAAAATATCTGTCAGGTTTACTTTAATTTGGATTTCACATTGAGCAAAACACAGGATTCACTGTTCCCCTTCAGTTTTGTGACATTATGTGGATAATATATCATTCAGCAATGGTATAATTCATACAATTCAGCATAAAGTATCTTAAATAAAACTTCAGGTTCCACATGTAAATTCAAAATAAGGAAATGTTCTAGTCATTTTAATATATTAAAAGCATAAACATCCTTATAACCGATACCAATAAGGAGGCCTAAGAGCTTAAAAAAAATAGAGCTACTGATAATGTTTGGTTACAATGTTCACATCCTTTGTATCTCTTCCAAGGACCATGAAATAAACCCTTAGCTAAAGCTGAATGGGCTTTTCATACCTTTTTCATTTATTCTGCTTTAACAAACTATATTGCCTCTTTCTCCTTCTCATCCCTTCCTTTTAATTCCTTCTCATTATTGAAACAGTTCATAAGCTTTAAATTACTTTTCACTAGACCGATGAGATTTCAAAGCCCATATTCCTGATCTCTAAACTCTCTTCCATTTGAAATTAAACTATGACATAAAAAGAGAAAATGATTCCCAGATTCCCACTGATTCCTAGAAGATATATGCAGATTTAAAATTTAAAATCAATGTATAGCCCTGGAGCACAGATCCAGGGCTATATTGCTATAAAGTCTTTCAATACTGGTCACCTTGCAGTGAAAGTAATGTTCAGAATGGATAACTTTGTATATGTATGGATTAGGACATTCATAATGGTAGGCACATAGATATTTTCAAGGCATTTTGTACTATAACTAACTCTGATAAAATTAATCATAGTTGCGTAGCTGATAGAAATTGCTACCTCCAGTGCAATCCTATGTACATTCTTTTTGAAATAAATCCGGAAGAAATATGCAAAGGATTACAGCCTGAGGATCTGAAAAAGGTTCATCATGGAACAGCATGAGTTTTCTTCAAATCAAAACTCAATTATGAAACTAGAAAGTAGTACCATAGAGGCAATTCAGAATATACAGAAATAGGTACAAAACACTACTTTTCAAATTTTTAAAGTTGCCACATCTTTGCACAGCTTGCTGGTTTTTTCAGAAGCTGCTCCCAGCTGTCTCTGTATGCATGTGCGCACACAGTCACAGAGACAGCCAAGTCAGACACCCAGGACTCTGGAAGACCTTCCAACACTAAATAGAATTTAGCAAACCCTATGAAGACAAATCCAAAATAAAGCTGTAGGTGTGTTGCACACTAGGCCAAAAAACACTGGAAAATAATATGCTGAAGCTAGCACAGTAATATTCCTAATTGCATGTTTGCTCTGCTAGTTGTTATTCTTACTTAAAATTGTAACTTTACAATTAAAGTTCACATATGGGATACTCCCATGCTTTCCATCAATTACAATTTAATGCTAAATATTTACAGTACAAGGCAAACCAGATCTTTATTAAATCATATTTATGAATGAGCAAAAATTTAATTAATATGTGCATTAAATGTACTAATGTAAATTGATGGAATCTCAAATTAGTTATGTTGTAAATATGTATAACCAACCATATAAAAATTATATATCATCCTCCAATCCTGACGAAACTATGTGTGTAATCATATGAAATACATGCTGAAAACCATCTCTTTATATACTATATTTAAATTTAATTTTTGTGTACTTTGATAAAGTCATCTATTACCAGTTTAATTCCAATTAAATCCATAATTTTATTACATTTAAGAAATGGACACAAAATATAATTTCCAGTTAGTATTATTCAAAAGCTACCAAATCTCTATAAAAGACTGAAGTAAAAAATGTTCAGAATTAGATGAGTAATTGAGTTACTGAGTTGCCAGTAAAACAATGACATAATAATGAAGATACAGTATCATTTTCTTACATTCTAGTTTATAAAATTCAACAAAATTATTAATCATCTTGGTTATTGTATTATACATACTACATAAAATTTAAACTTTGAATGAAGTGCTCTAAATATATTACAATACATAAATGCTAAGTAGTAGGATTATTTAATACATTTGGAACAACTCCTTTTGATGTGAATGTGACTAACAAATGCAATAAGATTAGAGCTGCAGCCTTTAAAGTTTTCTAACTATAGTTTTCAATCAAAATCAAGATATCCTGCTGATACCTTATCTTCCATTTTAAAAAGTGTTCTGCATTAAGTATTAACATACTTTTAACATCTCTTCTCTGCTCTAGTTTTTCATTTTATCTTCTACATCCTGTCCTATATTTCCTTATCCAGAGTCACCAGTGACAAGGTAGAAATAAAGGACAACATATTTAGTCCTTTCAAATTTTTCCAGGCTCCATTTATTACGAGAAAACTTATTTTTTTCCACTAAATAATAGTGAAGCACAAACTAATCCTACATAAATGGAATATATTAAGTAACTAGTAGTTTAACACCAAAATTGTTATATATTTTCAAGATTGTTCCTCAGAAGATAAGGCAAATTACAAAAATTGAACTTTTGTCACTTATAGTTCCACATCAAAAACAGTAAGCATTTTTGAATGTGTTGTTTTCCATAAAAATATCTACATATAAAGTACATGTATAATCAAAAGCAGATTATAAAAATAATTACATTGGTTAAAAAATAAATTGTCGGTTCAGTTTTCCCTTCAACTTTGCCATAATAAATACTTACAAATCTGAAGTAATGGAGAATTATATCTGTTAAACTGTATAATTTTCAATGACCAAGCTATGCTGAATGCAACTCCTGAAAGAATTCAAACCTGCATAGGAAATTTATATGGCTATACTTAACATTTCAAAAGTAAATTCTAACATTTGGATTAATTCTAACATTTACTTTAATACATCAATTGATAAAAATATGTTTGAAGATCTCTCCACAGTGAATTGATTTAGTATGTATTATGAATCCTGAACTGAAAGGGGATCATACCACAAAGTTAATTTCATAGGTTTTGTGGAGAGTCCAGTTGTGTTTGGTACTGTCTTTCAACTGACAATCAGCAACAGACATTCTATTAGGCTACCTCAGAGGGAAAGATGGAAAGCAGAGCTACTTCCATCTGCTCTACTAAGTGAGACCATCTTATCAGACACCACCTGTCCCCGAAATGTTTCTGTTCAAGCCTGTCATGAAAATGTTGTAATGCCCAAATAAGTACCTAAGTTTCCTTATTTTTCTTTTCATTGTTTGCTCTTGCTTATAGGCAAACTACCTTGGAGGTTTTGTGGCAGAAATGTTGTAAGAGTGAACAAAAGTTATGCCAAGCCTATGTTATTATCTAACTCCCTGTTTTTTTTTTTTCATCCTGTGTGTATGGATCTACAATGCATGTCTGGCACCAAAAAACATGGGTAAAGAAAATAATTTAGAAACTGCAGAAAAACATGAATTACTATTAACAGCATATGTTAATATTTTATTTTTCAGCAGTATCCACCCTTAGTGCCTGGTTAGTGTAATAATTCTGAAAAAAGAAGTTTTGTGTTTTCCATATGCATTGGCACTTGGAAAAGTATATACAAACATATTAAATAAAATAATAAAGTTATTTCACTATGCTGGAACAACACATTTACTTCCCAAAGTATAATAGAAATTACAGTCAACATATGTGGTTATTACATTAATATTGATATAACTGGTATCAAATTCAATGTTTACAATATAATTATATCCTGTACAGTGTCTATTATATATATGCTTATGTATGGGCATGTATAGAGTGGGCAGTATATTAAAAATATAAATGAAAAGACATACATACAAGTTTTAATAACAACTATGCTGCAATTTTATCAAGCAAAAAATGTTCTCAAAGATTACAAAAAGGTTCAGGGATAATGTCTAAGCAACTGTTAGGTTTGTCATTCTAAAACACACTACATTACACCACGTTACACTATATTACACACTAGATCTAGATAACTTCATGATATTGAATAAACCTGTTTAAAAGTGCACTGATAATTCTGTAGCTGCTCTGAGTATTTTTAAATGAAATATGCATGAAAATTCAGTCTGCTTTACTTCTTTTGATTGTAAGATATTAACACAATAGTTTTCTTCCAGATATTTTCATATAAGGATCTTAGAAAACCACTGTATGTTCTCTAACTTCAAATAGCTTGTTGTAAAAATCCTAGATCATCATACAGACCTTTTTTGAATCATTTCAAATATATACAGTACGTTTTTAATGCTTGGAGGTCACACAATAACTATTCTCATGTGACTTCAACTTCTGTACTCTTAACTATTATGCACTAAGAAGGAAATAAATAACCACCCTTGTCATCATGCCAATATTATCTAGCTACCAATTGTTTGACATTTCAGTTTTCTAAAGCCTGTTTTATTGCTGTATGGATGGTGAGCAAAAACAAACTTAGGTCCTTTGTTTTCTACCACAGCCAAATCAACAGTAGTTTAGAATATATATAACTTCCACCTTCATTATTTTTACATAATATACATAAAATAGTGATTTCATTATTTTCCCCCAACATACACATATCTCAGCTCAAACAGTATTTTCCATCATCTTTCTATATTAGGCCTTAAAAAGTCATGTTTACAGAGTTGACAGGACCAAGACCAGTTAAAACTCCTTAGTCCTTGAAATCAGATATTCCCAATATAAAATTATGGTTACTGATGAATTAAAAACTACAAAACAGATGAATACCTAATGTATTTATCAACAGCAATACCAATTAATAATTAAATCATTAGCATAAATATAAGTCACACAAATACATGAACAAATTGTGGAGAAATATGCAATTGTTAAGAGTATATGGTCAAACTTACCCCATTCTAGAAACTCCAGAATATTCTTCTCTCTTCTCAAGGGTGAATTATTACATTCATCATAAAGGCAGATGAGTATATCCAACAAGGTTTCCACGCTAAAGCATTGCCCATTGGTCTGAGTTGGCCCATCCAAAATAAACTGTTCCAACTGTCTCAAGCGCACCTCTCCAGACATGGCTGCTTCAGTTTTTAACAGACTTTCCTTCTTTATTTTTCTGTGCTATCTTTGACAAATCTAGCACATTAGAATATATTACAGTTTATAAAAAGAATTTTGAAAAGTCAGTGCTTTAAAGATGGTGCTGAAGGTATAATCCATCTCAGAATTGCCATTCTGAGAACTGTAACTTGGTCAGGCACACATACATCTACAATATATACAGAGTATTACAGAAAAATAATTACCCTAAAATCTCTTTTAATAACATTTAAAAGAGAAAATATATACTTTATACATTTAAATAATAATAATTAAAATTTAATTCCAAGACTGAATCCACTCTTCTGTCATCCATATACATTTTTAAAGGATCTTTTCCTTCATTCGAAATTCAGATCATGAAACCCAATCCCGAAATGAATCCTTCTGCATCATTAAAGTGTAAAGTCCCCCTTCCATTTGCATCAACAATTCACTTTCAAGGAAAGAGCAGCAGGAAGAAAGCTATTTGAAGGTGGGAGGGCAAAAAATAAAAAGCACAGGATTCTGAAGATCTAGTGCTGGAGAATATCCACCACCTCCACCACCTTCTTCTCCACCTTCTCCACCACCTCCACCTCCACCTCCACCACCTCTTAGAAAATGCATTAGTGGCAACTCTTCAGAAAGTGGGGAGTGGGAAGAAGAGAAGAAGAGGCAGAAAAGTCCTCAGAAACAGAATCCTTCCTTAGGGCAATCAGTGCCACTCTTCCATTAAGGCTCTTCACCATGCCAAAAAATAATGTATAGTCCGAATTTCCTTAACCTCCCTCCCCAATATACTGGGGAGGGGGAGCATGTGGAAGGGGAAAGTCACACCCCTCTTTAAATATCGGGGAAAGTAATAATTGTCCTCTCTTAAATAGGGTATCAGCACATCCAGTCAAGGGAAGAAAGGTAGGCTGGGCTGGTAATAATCCTAGCAAATCCTCTCCATATCGCTGCACGTCCTCTAGCTCCTTGTTTCTCTTGACAGGGCGACAGGATATTGCCTTTTTCAATCCACACACATCTTCTCCCACTCCGTTTGCGCGCTTCCTCCAAAAGATGCTGTGCTGCTGCTGCTGCTGCTGCTGTTTTCTAGTGCAAGAGATGAAAAGATGCTGCCCGCCTTTGGGTCCACCATGCTTAGGGCATCTTCTTCGAGCGGCGAACAGGGATAGCCTGCACTCCCCCCGACTCCTTCCTCCGTTTCCTCTTCCTCGTCGCGGTTGTTTTCCTCCTCTTCTTTCACCGTCCGCCCTCCTTGACTCCACACAGCCTCATGCATAAGCTCCGGCTGCTACCACTGAAGTCACCGGATCCAACATGGCGGCCTCTTCACCCTCCTCCCTCCTAAAGCTCTGGAGCGAGCGAAGCTGCAGAGAGGCAAACGAGGCTGCAAGCTGTCGGGAATGGGAGGGAGGGAGGGAGGGAGCGGAGAGCGCTGGAGAGATGCTTATACGGCAGCACGGAATGCAGGGATACAGGCGGACCTGAGGGGAGGGAACAGCAGCCGCACGGAAACGCCCTGCGGGCTACTGCAGGACCAGGTTGCTAAGCTAAGTTTGGGGCTCTTCTGGCTGCGTCAAGGGCTCTCGCCCAACCCGCAAGAAACATACCTGTGCTCTGAAACCCCATCTCGCCCTTGGGACTTTAAAAACTCTGTGGCTACTTTGCATTTGATCCAGCCGACCGCTTAAAAGCGCTTCTCCCACAATTTCTTAACAGTCGCGGTTTGTTCCCTCCTCACCCACCCACCCACTCCCACGTCTTTTCTGCGTTTTTAAAGGGAAAGTATTTGACGATGGGAAACTGGAAAGAACGCCCATTTTTTTTTCTTCCAAAACTGTAAAGCTGCCTGTGATACCTATTGATTGATTTGACACTTAGATAGGTAATAATAACAGAAAAGGAACATCTGATCTTATCAACCCTTTGCATCCCGTTTTAAGGGCATGGCTGTTGAAAACGTAGGATTGGTACAGTTGGTGACTAACCCTACCTCCTAGTTTTAACATTCCCAGGCTCCCCACTTACTGAACCTTTTGCTGATGTTCTCTAGGGCATTTTCCACTTTCCACTTGTTATCTTTTAAAAAACCCATGTGCTTAGATAGGAGTGAAGGATAGGATTAAGGGGTCCAAGTCGTGAAACTCAGTGGGTAACTTTGGATCATTCGTTCCTAATTTAGGATCACTACTTCCTCATTGCCTTCGGTGACAACAAAAACAGAGGCAATATAATTTACATATAGATATAGGTGCCATATCAACCTAACAAATAACTACAAATTCTGGCTGAATACCCCCCCCCCTCTTTTGGGGGGGGGCTTCTCTCAGTAGCTTGTGTTCCTGAACTGTCTTACAATTTTGTGACAGATATTCACATGTTGTTCCATAATGCAAAGATTTGGTAAATCCATATATGTAAAGTGTGTATAGTATTTCAATTTTCAAAAAAGATCGTTTTTTATATAGTGTTATGTAGGTTATGTGGTGTGTCATGCAGAATTCTGTACTCAAAACATAGTAACTTTTGCTTCTCAATCTGTACATTAAATTATTTAATCAGTTATAGTCCATCCTATGATTACTACCACCATAGCTAACTCAGTCTGAAACAATGTTTCAAAATCAAAAGTATCTAGGAATGAAAGCAAGGCTTAGGGTATGAAATAACCAATTATCATTGTTAGTGAAATCAAAGATCTATGTCATTTAAATCAGTATTCAATAATTTTCTCTTAATCGCTTTCTTTTAACAAGTTTTTTACTCCAGCAAAATAACAATTTAATCAAAAGCTCTAAACTATTCAGAGTCAGACAATAACTTCTGGGTCTTTGTGGCTAAAAATATCATTTTTTATATGGCTACTGGCCTGTCCCCTCTTCTTCAACAGCCAGTCAGGAGGCAGAATAAGGGAGACATCTTTCCCAGAGATTACATTTACATTTGGGAATTGTTCTCCCACTTTTTCTTCGTACTGCAGATCACTGATCCTGCTCCATTCTCAAACATTAGCGATTTTTTGGGGGGGGGGGGCTGCTTCTGGGTATGATGGAAATGGTATGAAAATGGGAAGTATCCAAAAAAATCAGGAGCTATGTATCTCTACATGGTGGTTATTCATATGTATTCCATAATATCGTTCCATTTTCAACATGCTAAGAAAATAACAAGCTAACCAATATGAATAGAATGGCATGGAAGATGAATTCTATGTCCAATTGAGTTTAGTTTTAGATTAGGGCTGCAGTTTAAAGCTGGATTTCCTTGTTTTTAATGCTGTCTATATTATTATGATGAAGCAATCAACTTGAAAAGTCAACTGATTTGGAGATTCGATGAAAAGATTGCTTGAAAGATGAATTCTATATTTTAAATGGAGAAATTGCAAAGACAATCTAAGTGTCTCTTCCCAGGAAACAAAAATGATACCAACAGAAAATATTTGTAGCTCAGGGTTGAATTGTGGAGTCCTTGGTACTCTTTGAGTTTGGTTGTTTTCTTGCAAACGTTTTATTATCCAGCTAGGTAACATCTTTCATGCTACAAGAAAGTGAGGTTTGCATTCTATTTGTATAGCAGTCAAATGATGTGATGAAGATTCTTTAATTGCATGACATAGGGACAAACTTAACTTTAGTTATGTAGTTCAGAAGCAGCTTTGGACCAGTGCAATATGAAAGCATAAAATGAACTTCATTATTCTGGTTCCATTCTGACTTGTCAAAAACTAGAATAATATTTTTCTTTTGTCGTGCTGCAAAAAAGTTTGTAAACACTGACAGAAACCCTTGCCTTGTCTTGCCTTCCAATTTCTGAATTTATTCACAAGCTATCAATTCAATGGTCTTCCAGGGTAAAAAACTGATTTGCTGGTTTTGAGGCTACCCCTCAGAGTTCTTTTTCATATACGATCAGATAGATTCACACAATATAAACCAAAATCATTAGATAAGGAAGCATGCTAGCAATTTTATTTTTTTCCATGTTTGGATGGAATAAAAAAGGGGGGTATTTGTTCCCTTTGTTTTTCCATGACAAACAGTAAATCAGGCAGAGTTCAGATAGAATTGCTTTCTTTATGAGATGAACCTTCATTTTGGAAAATTTGAAGACAGATGAATTGGCTTTAACAATATTTTTCAGGGGTTCTGAAGAAGAAATTGCAGCTATTTAGAAGTGTAGGCATTTAATTTTCTTTTAATGCCCTATTCTATATTTTGTAGAAGAATAATCCACTCAGTAGGGTTATTACCTAATTCCACTTGAAATATTTACCTGTTTGAATTAAATTGTATTTCAATCAGTTTACATATTATAATTTCATACATTTGCATATTAGAGAAATATGCATACTGGAAAACTATGCACGTTGGAAAACAATGCAAAGTTCTAATAAAAATAATCCTCATATATTGAAGAAGTTTTAAACAAAACAACAGTTTTAGTAGACGACCATTTTGAAAAGAATTCCAGAAGTATTGAAAGAAAACATGTACTGAAAACATGTAGTGCTCCAGGCCTTATTGGATTAATATCTATCCATGTTCAGTGGGATCTCAATAGATCTCAACAGCTTGTTAGGCCAATAGGTTGGTTTTCTGATCCCTCTTAGTAGGGAGACTCCAATCACTACCACATGGGTGTAGGCAGGAATCTTTCCTTTTCTCAGCCCCTTAAAACTTATGGCAGCTGCTCTTCATCCAAGAGTCCACAAACCTTTTCTCTGGGAATCTATTCTGAAGCTCCAGAGAAAAGGAGCCCTTCTTGCAAGCAAGCCCTTTATGTTGATTTGTTCATCTCTATATTGCCTCTGTTTGTTTTTCTTTTAAGTTCTGTGATGCGTCTTGATATTCTTCTCCTGCAAGCATTTCCTATGACAGATCTAAATTTTTTTCCCCGATGATAGGCTGGAAGGTTAATAGGAATGCCTCTAGCTCCTTCCCTTCTCTTTCAGGAGGGCAATCAGCATGCAGCATGTGTAGTTGTCATCATCTTCAGCGAGGAAAACAAACATGGCTCATCCCCAGAAAAACATGAGAGTAGTTCTCTCTGTTTCATGTTCCTCCGATGAACAAAAGAAGACGAAAAACCTTTCCCACCAAATTCCTATTTGCTCTTCCTCTTTACTCACGCAGTGACCTTGTTTGAACCCAGTCATTTACAGATAATTTGATAAATCATGGTTAAACAAACCATTGCATGCTGTGACATATAAGCCCAATCACTACATCTGAGCCTCAGTTCCTTAATCCATAAAAATTTAATAACACTTGCTACAATCTTGCTATGAGTTAGAAATGACTAAACATAAAAAGTAAGTTTGAAAAATGTTCCATATAAATTAATAATAAAAAAAAAACCCTACAAAATGACAAGAAAGAGCAAATATTGAATTTTTCTTCTTGTGATTAAATTGTGCTGGAGAAAACTACTAGCTGGCAGGAAAGAAAATCATCATAAAATAGGTATTCAGAAAAATCAGATATAGTACTTTATACCAGTGGTCCCCAACCCCTGGGCTGTGGCCCACTACTAGGCTGTGGCATATTCAGAATTGGGCCACGCAACTGGCTGGCTGGAACGTGCGCATGTACAACTCAATTTGCATGAGCAGTGGGCCAGTGGACACTTGCGCACAGGCTTGCTGCGCACACAAGGGCTGCATGTACATGTGTGCATGCGTGCATGCAGGCCCACTGTTCATGCAACCCAGTTTCCCTCTCCCCCCAGGTGGGCCACTAAGCCGTAAAGGACCACTGCTTTATACAATTTCCCTTTAAAATACTACGTTTTTTTAAATCTTATATTTTATTGAGAAGTATTCACATTCATCATTCAATTTATAGATAATATAAAGATTATTTCTAGATCAGAAAATGAAGCTGACTTGAATCCCTATTAAGAATAGCATCCTTGTATATAAGATACTCAGTCACAGCTGCACCTCTAATGTATCAATCTATCCATTATATGTGTATCTGATATATGTAAATGAATATGTACTCATATTACAGCTATTTGTGGATATATACAGAGATAAAATGGCAATATATGCATACTTAGGCATGATATAAGCACATTTTAATGCAGTGATTTAAATATAGTTAAAGTGATAGGCAGAAAAAATGTGTGCCATCTGCTTTCAATAAAAATAGCCTATTTTATATCTGTGATGATTAAACTGGGGGACCTCTGGATTCTTTGATTCCATTCCTGTTTCTGCCAGAGAACTAGTTTCCTTTTTGGGAATGCAAAAATCTCTGATTGCATTTAATTATGGAAAAGTTAAAAAGGGAGTGCTGAACATGGAAACCATACAGCAGATAATATATCAGACAATGCTTTTGCAATGCAATATAATGCCTCCAAGTATTTTTTATTGCTCTTACTATAATAAAGGAATAATGTGCTCCTATAGGCATAAGCCAACACTGTCTATCTGTCTGTCCTCTTAACATACGTTAATATTTTCATTTCAGTGCAAGTGGTGGAATTGTCATAGGTAATTGCAATATCATCTCTCTTACCAAACGAATGCAAGATAAAACCTAATTCTGCCTGCATAATGCCTGATTGGTATATTTGTCAGAAATGACAAGATAGGAAGTGCAAGTGACTCATAACTCATTTCTTCACATGCAATAAGGGCATAACATCTAAAGTGAAAGAGAGAGAGATGTGTTCTT